ATGACTTATTGTAAGACAAATTTTAAATAAAAACATATGTTATTTTGAGACGGAAGGAATATGAATTTTGGTTGGATATAATTAAATTATGGGAATAGTATCCATCTATCTTACCTCCCAAAAATTAGGAGGTAAGACTTAAATGATGCCATTCTACCGTCCTTTTCATGTCCCTTGATTTTTTAATTTCTTTTGGGCAGCCCCTTTTCCTCTTGTTTTCATGGGCAACCCTAATTACTCAAATCTCCAATCTTCCTTGATTGATTTTCCTCTTTCGCTCTCAGATTTTACTATTCTTTTACTTCGAATTTTAATTCAAATTCTGATTAATTCTGTGCACTTGAGGGGTGCAAGGAAGAGTCAATTGTTTGGGGTTCCAATTTAGCAAGGAAGGGGTAGGGATTTCTAGCTTTTTTGGGCACTTGAGGGGTGCAGGGAAGAGTCAATTGTTTGGGGTTCCTTTGACTAGTTCTTCACCATTATCTTCAAATCAATTCAGCGAGGAGGAGGTAAGGGTTTCTAGCTTTTTCAGGGGGTTCCTTCAACTTGTTCTTCACCATTTATCTTCAAGTCAAGTTAGTGAGGAGGTGGCTTGTGGTTTCTAGCGTTTCTTTGTGTTGCTTTGGAAAGCTTTTAGGATGGGTTTATGATTTACAAGCTACAAGCTATATTCAATTTTTGTTGTTTTTATTTTCATTTTTAGTAGCATACTGCACTCTACTTGGTTTAAGAGCATCTTAATAGTTGATTTTTCATTACAAAGTTCATTTTGAAGACCTTATTTTTTATTCTGTTTTTTTGAAAAGCAAATTCAATTCTTTATTATTGAGGTCCAAGGGATACTAGGAACCTATTACACTACACACCTTATTTTTGATTCATATTTATGGAGTTGAGCAACGAAGCATAAAAGAAATAAATAAAATCCATGAAACACCAACTGGTCTACCTTGAACCAAAGTAAGCATTTTGGTCAAACAACATAAAAGCAAAATTTTAAAGTATGAATAAAATTTTTATATTAGAATAGCTATTTTGATACAACAAATTTTTCCTTTAAAGTAGGAATATGTAATAGAAGAAACAAATACATGTAGAATAAAAAGTTAAACTATATTATCCAAGCAATGTTTCTCAATGGTTATGCATTTCACCAAAGAGTAATTAAAGCTAACAATTGCCAACATTTTCTACTTTAAAGCAAATTACATGGCATTTGTTTTTGCCCAAAAAAAAATAAAAAAAAGTTAAACATGTAACCACCTAAAGATCGAAGTCTTCTATTATCAAAATTAATCCTTTGCTAATTGAATTATAGTTTCGTTAGTTATTCCTTGTATTTTATGCATGACAAAATAAGATATAGTTAGGCTAAATAGAAGAGAAAGTAACACCAAACTTAAAAGGCCATAAAAATTAATAAATCACTCAGTAATTTTACCTTTCTTTTTGTCTTTCCACAAGTCATAACATCGTGACCTTTGATTCCACACCAGTTACAAGTTTGCCTCCTTGCTTGAGCTGCATTTTGTGACACTTCTTTTCTGATTGAATTCTTATCAAATTTCTTGGCTAACCTTTTGTTTTATCTCTTTCTAAATCACAAATAGTTATATTACATAAAATTGCACCTTGAGATATTGACTGTGCTCACAAACTACACTTCCATGTTCCTTGTCAACATTATCTAATATATTCATCATGTCCTCCACCAGTGATGTAATAGTATTGTAATGATCATGATGTTTATTGCTCACTCCTACACTATATTTAGTGATTTTTGAAGATTCCAATCTTCTAAAGTAGAAACCATAGAATCTATTGCTATGCTAATCAATTTGCATTTAGTTTGCTTATTGTGTTGTCTATAAGCCAAGATCCATCTAGCCAACATCTAGCCAAGATGTATCTTTTAGGAATCTCATTCATTTGATAAATTTGCCTCATTATATGTAGAATATGTTTATATAATACACCAATAGTTTCAAAATTTCCACAACTACAAGCAAACTCCTCCTTTGATAGGTTACATCTTACAGATTGTGACTCAGTTTTCCCTCCAAATTGATAAATAACATCATAAGTGGTCACCTTGTTGCTAATGGTCATGTCACCACAAACACAATATAAACATGCTTTTATTTCGTTTTGAAAATTTTCAAATACTTTTTCAGTGTAGACCTTTCCTACTTAAGCTTTTAAAGGATGCAATTGATCAAGATCAGGCTCTGTTCTCATGGTCCACATGTCTTCAGTCACTTCCTCATCACAATGACATTCTAGAGCTTTAGTATACTGACTAAAAAACTAAGATAAAAGGGTCATTGAGGTCACATAGCCATTAAAAAATGAATTAATGCTTTCGCTTCGCTGTCTTGATCTCATTCCAACAAAAGATGTGTCCCTCAAATAACATCAATCCAACTGTAATGCTGCTCATACATTTTTTCCAACCAGTTCCAAGACTTATTTTCATTATGTTGCTTATTCGCTAATGGCTTCACAAATTCCTTATATTTCTCCTTCAACCTTTTCCATGCACTCTTAGCTTCTTCGATGGATTTACTATATTTTATCCACTTATAGTATTCTGAATCAAATCTAGGATTAATTATATGAAAATCTCAATGAATGAAGGTGCTCAATTGTGTGGAGTGAGATGTGGCAAATGCAAAACCTATGTCGTGAGTTTGGAAAGATCCTTTTAATTGCATTAGTGATTGCTAGGTCTTGGTTAGTGATGATTGCACCTTGTGCTTTACCCTTCATGCACAATAACCAATATTCAAACAACCACACAAAATTATCTTCTTGCTCATTTGATAAAAGGACACATCCAAATAGTGTCGATTGCTTATGATAGTTTACACCAATGAATGGTGCAAATGGTAGATGAAATTTATTAGTCTAATATATCACATCAAAAACACATCACTAAAATTTTCATACATTTCCCTTGCTCTACCATTTGCCCAAAAAATATTCCTACAAACACCATCTTCATCAAGCTCCATGGTATAGTATAAATGTTCATCTAAAGCAGTCATATAAAGGAATTACTACATAATTTTCATGCACTCCCGATCAATGTTGCTCTCTCTTTTTTCTCTTAAGTGTTTTTGGCATTGTTGAAAGGTGATAATAAAGCTACTAGTGCCTGTGACATTTAGCAGCCTTGCAATTTTTTAAGGCCCACATCCTTCTAACTTAAATTGATCCATTAACTTCATTGTCTTTGGTAAGACATGTTCTTTACTGTGCGAGCATAATTTTCTTGCTTTATTTGGAAAGCTAAATAACTTATGGTTATGATCATTAGTGAAGCTTTTCATAATCTAGACTCCATTTTTAAAGTGTAAAGCCATGCAAGCCTTACAACTCACTCGTTGTAGGTGATCACACAAGGGTTTGAATTTAGGGCTTGTTTGGTATAGCGGTTTTGGGGCAATGATTAACAATTTTGCTTAAACCGCTAAGCATAAGTGTTTGGTAAACTTATATATTTCGAAATCGCTACAAATAAGGTGTTTGGTAAAAATTTTTATTTAGCGGTTTGGGATTAGCAGATAGCGGTTAGGGACTAGCAGATAGCGGTTAGGGACTAGCAGATAACGGTTAGGGACTAGCAGATAACGGTTAGGGTTCAAACCACTAACGGATCGAAAAAAATTAGTTTATGTAGCTTTTTGTATCAAATTGCTTCTGGATTGGAATTTTTTAATTTTATTGACAAATTTATCCATTTTAATTTTTTTAAAATTTTTTTATCACATTTTTTAATTAATATTTATCTAATAAGTTTCAATTTTGTTTTTTTCATCTTTAATAATATTAAGTAATTATAATA